TCCCTAGTTGGGTCATGAAACGTCTGCAAGAAAACCACCAAGCTCCGAGAGCACCCAGGACGCCACAGTCCTCCTCCTCCTCCTCCTCTTTCCTTTCCTCTTCCTCCTCCTCCTCTCCACAACCCCCCTCCCTTCTAGCACTGATGATGTTCCCTAGTTGGGTCATGAAACGTCTGCAAGAAAACCACCAAGCTCCGAGAGCACCCAGGACGCCACAGTCCTCCTCCTCCTCCTCCTCTTTCCTTTCCTCTTCCTCCTCCTCCTCTCCACAACCCCCCTCCCTTCCAGCACTGATGATGTTCCCTAGTTGGGTCATGAAACGTCTGCAAGAAAACCACCAAGCTCCGAGAGCACCCAGGACGCCACAGTCCTCCTCCTCCTCCTCCTCTTTCCTTTCCTCTTCCTCCTCCTCCTCTCCACAACCCCCCTCCCTTCCAGCACTGATGATGTTCCCTAGTTGGGTCATGAAACGTCTGCAAGAAAACCGCCCAGCTTAGCCTTAAGAACCCTACGCTGCAACTATTCTCCTTTATCGAAACTCGGCTTCCTCAGACGGTTAACCTCCAGCCACCTTAATCCTCGACAAGGATTCGTTGCTCTTCTCCGCTCTCTTCCTACGGCCTCAACATCTTTCCTGTCTCGCGGTGACCAGAACTGGGAAGAGCGGCCGCACGCTGCCCAGGAAGAGAAGCCTTGGCGCCCACCGGTGCCCCCTCACCTCTTTCTCCATGGCCGCCTGGTGCTTCTTGACCAGCTTCTCCATCTCCGCCGCAAAGTTGTTGCGCTGCGTTTCCAGGTCCTTGTCCAGCCGCAGGCGATGGTCGTCCATCTCCGTTTTCAGCTTGTTCTCCAGCGCCATCAGCTGCTTCTGGTGCTGCCGCCTCATGCGCTTGTAGCCGGACATCTGTTCCCGCAGCTCCGAGTCCTGCTCATGTTCCTGCATCTGTCTGGTCACCTGAGAAGGACCGAGAAGCCCCACCGGGGGAGGCGTTTTTAGGCTGGGACGGTCGTAGTGTCCCGGGGTCACGTGATCCCCTTTTGCAACCTTCTTGATAAGCAGACCTAGCGGGGAAGCCGGATTCGTTTAACGACTGGGTCACTGACTTTAAAATGCAGTCGTTCGCTCGACAAATGTGGCAAGAAGTGTCTTAAAATGGAGCAAAACTCACTTAACAAATTTCTCACTTAGGAACATAAATTTTGGGCTCAATTGTGGTCGTATGTTGAGGAGTACCTGTAACTAATACAGGAGATGATAGATAGATAGATAGATAGATAGATAGATAGATAGATAGATAGATAGATAGATAGATAGATNCTGACTTGATGAATAACTGAAGGATATATTTTAAATCTATCTGCTATTTTTACTTGATAGGCTTGGTATTGTATGAGTGCCAGCTGCAGGAACTTGTCTCACCATTGTTTAGAAGCAATCAGGAAAATGGCTTACAATTATGTTTTGCTACAAATATGCTTTTTAGTCCAAGGTGGGGCCTGCAGGAATTAAGGGAAAAGACAAATAACATTTTGTTGTCACATCTCAACACTGCCTTTTGCATATGCAATGCCGAAAACCAAATGCAGTAATAATCCAGTTTGAATCAGCAATGATTAGCTAAAGATTATTTACACAAAACAATCATCATTAGGAAATGCCATACAATGCCAAGATTCTCTTTCTTTTAACCAGCTGTGTACGCAAATGTAAAATTGTCCGATTGATTATATTTTCCATTAACCGAAGAATATATCCAAAACTTTCTGACTCAGGTTTAAATATTTTTCTGTTTTCACATGTCAGTTTTTATGATTCATGCCATTCTCTTTTTGCATTTAAGTTTACAAAATAATGCTGTGACGGTTGCCATTAATTGCATGGTCAGAAGTACAATGCTATTCAAATTCCTGGCCAGTAAACTTCATGCCATCCACTTTAAAAAGAAATTGTACATAAAATAAGGTCATTCAAAATACGCAAAATAATCCAGTAATACTTTGGTATCTCCTACCTATACAAATAGGAATTGGAAAAGTTAAATATTGCCACTTTTCAAAGAGAACCATCTTACTATGATAGATAGGAATTCTTATCCCATCTTTGAATCATCTTGTTTATTTTATCCTTTGTTTTTGACATTGCAGTTCAAAATAGAATCCCCCCAGGGGCCACATCATGTTGGAAAGAGTCTTGTATCATTTAACTACAAAAGTTAGCAAAAGTACATTTCCTGAAAAATTTGACAAAATCTATAGAATGACATAGACAACGAGCACAGTACAACAGTTAGAGTTTTGGCCTAGAAGCAGAATTATCTATGTAGGATGGAACACCTCAATCATAGAAACTCATGAGTAACTTTGTGGTTGACTCAATTCCTCTCTCTCAGTCCAACCTCATACCTGATTGTTGTGAAGAAAGATCGGAGAAAGGATTCCTATGTATGGTACCTTGGATCCTGAATGAAAGATGGAATATAAATCCATCTTACAAATGAATGTAATGATATAGATGAATTACAAATTATACATAGATGAATTACAAATCCAGGTATAATATAGTAGTGCTCTCTGAAATATTTTCCCCCCGCCTTGCTTTGGGGTATAAATGCTGATCGTAAACAAATTTTGATGCAATGTACTTCCTTTCATTTAAAATCCTATCTCTTTTAATGAAATGAAGGATTTATTTCCAGAATTTGCAGGTTTTCACAATCTTTTAGGTTTATTTAGCTCAAGGCAGTACAAAATCAACAAAAATGGGACAACTGGTTGCCTACATCATCTCACTACTGGCTAGTCTATTTCAGACTTCAGGAACATCTAGAAAGCAAATGAAGAACACAAGTCTCTCTCCCCCCTCTATTATCTTATAACTAGTTTCAAAAGATGTAGAGGAATGATGTAAATAATGTTAGATGTTTTAAAGAAGCATCAAGTTACATTTCAAAAAATTCTGTTCAATCTGCTTTGAATGTCTTTGTGTTGCACTAAACCAGGAAACTCTGATGTAAATTAACCAGGAAACTCTGATGTAAATTTAGATTATTGATGCCTAGCATGACGCTGAACTAAATCCAAATTAACTTGCTTTGGCTAATGGTGGCTAATGGTGAAAAACTGAAGAT